AACAATGCTGAGTGGAAAGTGAAAAACTGATTTTGCTGAAGATAACCAACCGTCTTCCCAAGAATGAACTTCATTTGTTAGGTTCCAACTACTTTCTGATATCAGTCACATGAAACAAAACAGAAAAGAGACAAAGACTAAAGTTGACACAAAGGCTGGTATTATCAAGGATTTTGAAACCTTTAGGTCTATGGCATCCATGTTCCTTCCCATCTCCATCAACCTTGACTCAAGCCCCAAAACACAATCCAGAGTCATGTATCATCTCCTGTATTCTAATTTCTACAGTGATCTGTATTTTCTCTTCACTGACCAAAGTTCCTGCTACTCCACCAAACTCCAAAAGCCCTTCCATTGTGTCTACCCTCTTCTCTCCTTGCCTGAGATGAAACATGACTGTCTCCTGAGGTCACTGCTTCCCTTGTAACTCTCAAGTGGAGGCTATTCAAAGTGTCTCAGGTATAGGAGGTAGAGTTTGTCTTCTTCTGATTGCCAGTGCTGCTTCTAAGCCATTACTTCCCCAGCCTTAGGTAAAAATCTCTGTTCTTGTTAGTGAGAAAGTGGAACAACTGGAACCCTCATGAATGGGAATGTAAATTGGTACAACCACTTTGGAAAACTATTTGGCAGTAGCTACCAAAGCTTCATGGCCTATGACCTGGCGATCCCACTCCTAGGTATATACTCAACAGCAATGTGCACTTATGTGCACCAAAAGACATATACAAGAATGTTGATCGGAGCATTATTTGTAATAGCTCAAAACTGAAAATAATTCAAATGTCCATTAACAGCAGAATGGATAAATAACTCATGATATATTCACTCTCTAGAATATCACAGAGCAATAAGAATGAATGAACTAGCATACATGTGTAATGGCTGAATCTCAAAAACAATATTGGGTGAAAGAAGCCAGACATAACAGAGTAAATACTGCCTTATTCCATTTACATAAAGTTAAAAATAGGCTAATTAATTTATGGTGGAGAAGGAGCAAAGGGGAGGGCTTCAGGGCTGCTGGTAATTTTTTTTTTTAATTTGGCTGCTGGGTGAACAAGTATGATCATTTTTGAAACTTTACCAAGCTGCTTATGATTTGTGTACTTAACTGTATGCATGCTATACTTCAACTGAAGAAAGTTTTCATAAAGGAAAGAAAAGTAATTCTCCTCTGAGACTCATACCACCCATCTATTCATCCTTAGCACCTGCCTCCTGGTCACTTCATCGCATTGAAGATTTAGGATCCTGGTTAATAGTCTTCTTCTATACTCTAAATCCTGCCATAACTCTGAGTGACTTTAACGTCCACATGGCTGAACCACTCAAAAGCCTCTCCTCACTCTTCTTTGACCTCACCTTTTTAGACCTTCATATTCACTCCACTGCAGTTACTCACTCCATGAGTACACCCTGAATTTACCATTTCCCAGAACTTGTTAATAGCTAAAATCATAAACTCAACAAACTTTTCTCTGACTACAACCTCCTATTTCAGCTTTGTTTTCCTTACTGCTTTACTCCTGTTCTTTAAGCCAATAAAACTATCTACCACAGAAAACTTTTTGTGAGAATTAAATGAAATAATGTGCATCAACAGCGTAATACAGTGTCTGACACATAGGAAATACTCAATACATGGTAGCCATATTTCAATATTAAGTATTCTATTAGAAACAAGTATCTTTTAGGATGAAAATTTTCCTCAAATTCACTCAATCTCTGGCATTAATGAAATCTAGCTTTTGACACTACATTCCTCCCAATCCTTTTAAATGAAAGCCAGTCCTCCAGCCACTCTCTGATTCAAGAGGTCAGGAGGAGAGATCAGTACAGTACTTGTTCTCAAGGCTAATTCCACATCAGTGTTCCACCATCACATCTGCTCAAAAAGTTCTTATCTCTCAAAATGTATGTAAACTATTTTCAGAGTTATCTACCAACTTTCAGGACTCCTTTCTACCTTATTCCTTGTTATTAATCTCTGGGGCTTCAAAATTAACACAGATCAGCATTTTTGTACCTCGGCCTCACAGATGCTTCCTCAAGCTTAAGCCCCATGATCTGAACTCAGACCATAGCGATTTCAGATCCAGATCTACCACTTATGACTGAGTGACTGTGTGAAAGTTACTCAACCTTTCTAAGCTTCAGTTTCTTTACCTTTAAAATGCTGGTAATAACAGTACCTAGATATAGGGCCACTGTGAAGCATAAATGCTAAAATTCACATAACGTGCTTAGCAAAATGCCTAGCACAGTAAATATTCAATAGCATAATAGCTGTGATCACTATTATTAATTCTTACCAGTTCTTGGCACATTTCCACTTGTCTCCAAACCTGCTCAGGTCTCCTGAAATTTTTTTTTCACCAGTTTTATTGAGATTTAATTGGCATATAGTCTCCTACTTTTTTAAATGAAAAGAAACCTTCCTGGAATTTGCTACCCCCAACTCAAGATTTCTTCCCTACCTTTTGCCGCAACATTTCTCTAAGGAGTAATGTACACCTCCCTTCCAGGGGAGGCAAGTAGTGGAAAGATCAGGGACTTTGAAGCCAAATATACCTGTGTTTGAACCTGGTTCTTCCACTTGGATAACCCGGAGCAAGCACTTTTTCTAAACGTCAGTTTTTTCATATGCAAAATGGGGATACTACCCATTTCTTAGGGTCATCAAGAAGATTAAACTGGGGCTTCCCTGGTGGCGCAGTGGTTGAGAGTCCGCCTGCCGATGCAGGGGACGTGGGTTTGTGCCCCGGTCCGGGAAGATCCCACATGCCGCGGAGCGGCTGGGCCCGTGAGCCATGGCCGCTGAGCCTGCGCGTCCGGAGCCTGTGCTCCGCAACGGGAGAGGCCACAACAGTGAGAGGCCCGCGTACAGCAAAAAAAAAAAAAAAAAAAGAAGATTAAACTGAAATAATACATGTAAAGCAGGTGGTCAAAGTACGTGCTAAATGAATGCCAGTTTCCCACCCCTTATCCTTTCCCTAACCCCTTACAATCTAGGTTCTCACTCTACCACTTTACCTCACTTCAGCTCTTATTAGCATTGTGACTTTGGGCAATTTAATTGAATTTTCGAAACCTTAGTTTTTCATTTGTAAAATCGTGATCATTATCATCTACAACATAAAGTTGTCTTGAGAATTAAGTGAAATAACATATGCAAAGTATTTTAGCATGGTGCCTGGCCTTGCAGTAAGCACTTAATAAATGGCAGCTACCAGTGACTTATTAATAGCCAAATCAAAAGACTGTTCAACTCACTCCTTCTACTGTTCAACTCGCTCCTTCTCTAGGCTTCAGTGACAACACACTATTCAGGTCTGCTGTTTAACCACTGACCATTCCTTCTCTCTCTGCACTCCCTCCATGATGTCTTTCTTTATTCTCTTCAACCAGGTGTGAACTCTCTCTTCTGAACCCTCAGATCACTTTGTACTTCTCCTGAGAACAAGGCACTTCCTCTACTCTGAATGACAATCATTTGTTATATGATACACCTCCACAACTTAATTTAATAACTTTTATGTCCATTGCCTGGCACTTATTTATTCATGTAGAATTTATTGAGTCCCTAATATAGCTCATACCTGTGCTAGGTACTAAGGATACAAAAATTAACATATTATAATTACTGTCCTCAAGTAGCTTATAGTTTAGGAGGATAGAATACACAAGTAAATAGTCTACTATTTGCAGTACGATAAGTCCTATGGTAAAAGTATGCCCAGAATCCTCTCGAGCACAAAGAGGAGTTATTTAAATCAGACTGGGGAGATCTGGGACACTATCTTGGAAAAGGCATTTTGTATTTAGCATTCGGGGAGGCAGTACACAAATCCCTGTTAAATGAATGAGTGAAATATGAATAGGAACTAACTAGATGAGGATGGGAAACGGCACTTCAGGCCCAGAGAAAGAGCAGGGAAAAAGGCTTGGAGTACAGATATTAGGAGAGTTCCTGAGAGACAGGAAATGAAGCTGGAAAGCCAAAGCAGAGTCGGCTCTTCCAGACATAGGAGCCTGACCTGACCCTAGAGGGCAGATGATGGAGTGCCAATAAAGATTTTTAAGTAGTGGAAGGGCATAATCAGATTTACATTTTAGTACTCTGGCAGTGCAGGGGGAAATTAATTGCATGAGAGCCAGGCTAGAGGCAGCGAGTCCAGTTAGAAGGGTGTTGTGGTAATTCAAATAAATTCTGAAAGCAGAAATGGAGTGAGAATGGCGAATCAAGACAGATACTGAGCCTGAATTATTCATATTTATATCTCCGGCAAGCAGTGCATTTCACACTTAAAACCCGCTACAAATATCTACCCATAGGTATTTGTCTACTCATAGATATTTGTCGACTACTGTTACTGAAACCTACTTAGGGAACTGCAGCTAGCAGCCACATGTGTCACTTCCTGTACACAGATACCTAAGTAAAGGCACCTTTCCCCACTACAGAACTCAAAAGAAACTTAGGTTTGTCATTCAAACCCGTAAAGTAACAACAGTGAATACAAACCCAGGCACTGCAGAGAGACTTGAGACGTCTCTATCCTGGTCTATTTCACCAGAAATAATGTTTGAACAAAGTCCTTCAAAGGGTCGTGAGGCCCCGCCCTCTGCACCCAGACAAATGCCCAGGATTCTTTTCTCTTTGTTTCATCTCAAGACCCAAGTCTGTTCGCTGCTCGTCGCCTGGCGGGCCATTTTCGCCCAGCTCTTTCCCAGTTTTCACCCTGCCGCTGTGTAAACACTCAACAGCAGGGGATTGAGGAGAGAGAACCGTCCCAGGCTGAGGAAACTCTCAAGGGGAGAAGCAGGTGTCTTGAGGCTTCAAACGTTAAAGATTCCCTGACCTTGCCAATCCTCTCGCAACCCCATCTCCATTTCGCCTCTTGCTGTGGAACTCCCTTCTGAAGTTAGGAGGATCCCTTCTACAGTTATCAGAGGGCTACCAGCATCCAGAGAAACTAAGCAAAGTAATTTTTACTTACCCTAACGGCCGCCATAGCTGTAGCGCTCTCCGCCCAGGTCTTAGCACGGAGAGCGGGAAGGGACAAAATAGCTCAACTAGGCACCGTTCAAAGTAGCCCCACCCAGTTCCGCCCCTCGCCGGCCGGCTCCGCCCTTTCTCCGCCTTCCTAGTGCCGCTCTAGGAAGTTGCAGAAGTTGGCCCTCTTTCTCCGGGGAAAACGGTTCAACCCTGTGGTTGACTGTCGCTATCCCTGATGACACCTTTCAGAATATTCTCCATAGTCCATTTGAAAGTTACTTTGCTGGGTGCAGAACTTTTTATTATGTTCGTTTTTTTCAGGCATATGTGATTTGTCTAGTTGAGGACTTAAAATCCAAGTCCGGCTGCCTTAATAAATAACTGTATAGTCACAAAAAGAACATGTTACCTCTGCAATACGTGGGCAAGTTCATACAACCTAAGAGTATGTCACTAAGCGCCTGCTACGTGCCAGGCACTTGTTCAAAGTACAGAACATAATGTAACGCCTTCCCTCACGGAGCTTGTGATTCCAGGAGGAAAAGAGAAACAAATAAATGTTACAAAGTGCTAAATGCTGTGAAGGAAAATAAAACAGTATGGGGATGGGGTGGGAATTTATTGATTTAGACAGACTAGGGAAAGGCTTTCTGATAAAGTGACATTTGAGAAAAGTCCTGAAGGAATTTAGGGAAGAATCTTCCACGCAGAAGGAACAGCAATAAAAAAGGTCGGTGTGTCAGAAGAGTGGCTACATCTGATGGCACTGACTAATTTAACGTGAGAGGAAAAGTATATGCAGCTTCTTAAATTTGCCCCTAGGCATATAATAAATCTCAGGGACCTCTGATGGCCATACTAAAGAAAGCCCCTTTACTTCTCATGGTCAAAAAAAGCTGAAATTTTTAAAAGCTAAACTCAAAGACTGATTCTTTTGGTTTCTAAAATTATTTCAGTTGAATTTATACCTAACCTTGATAGGTCACTTATTTAAAAATTTAGAGCTTTGAGCAGGAGAGAGTGGTAGTCTGACATTTTAAGGGGGCTATCTGGGAGGATCTGGAAGGCTAAGAGTATTCAAAATCCCTACACCTTTCTCTCTGAACTACTCTTTATTCCTGATACCAATTTCTGTATTGGTCAGCATTCTTTGATTACAAGCAACAAAACCCGGGCCCCCTGCACTGGGAGCACGGAGTCTTAACCACTGCACCACCAGGGAAGTCCCTCATTCAAGTTTTTATTTGCATTTCCCTGATGTCTAATGAAATTGATCACCATTACATATTTCAATTGGCCATTTTGATGTTATCTTTCATAAAGTGCTTATTCAAGTTTTTAGCCCACTTTTTCTATCCTGTTGTACATTTTTCTCATTTATTTGTAGGTGTTCTTCAGAAGACTGTATACATGCACTTTGCCAGTTTTATGTGTTGTTAATATCTTCTCTCACACTGTGGCTTGCCTTTTTATCCCTTCAATGGTGTCCAGAAACCAACCCTGCTGGACCTGGATCTGGGACTTCCAGCCTCCAAAGCTTAGAAAATATATTTCTGTTGTTTAGGCCACCCAGCCTATAGTATTTGACTATGGCAGCCTAACCAGACTAATACATTATTCTTCTTATATATTGCTTAATTCCATTTGCTAATATTTTCATTAGGATTTTTACATCTATGTCCATGATGGTTATTGGTTTGTAATTTTCTTTTAAGACTTTGGTATCAGTGTTTTATTAGCTTCATAAACAAATTGGGAATTGTTTCCTCTTTATTTTCAGGAAAAGTTTGTTTAAGATTGGCATTATTACTTCCTTAAATATCTGAAAGATTTCACCAATGAAGCCATCCAGGCCTGGAGATTTCTTTGTAATAAGGTTTTTAATTATAAATCCAAACTATTTAACATGCTCTCAGATTTTCCATTCTTTCTTGTGGCTGCTTTGCTGAGTTGTGCACAGTCAGTTCTATAATAACACTTATTTAAAAACGTGAATTTGTTCCAAAATGGTGGATATATTAGGAAACAATTTGAAAATTACATAAATTTCATGTTCACTCATGCACTGTTTCGTCCATAAGAAACACGATGTGAATGCAGAAAACAGCACCCAGCACAATCAGACTGTGTAAGAATGCACAAAACACACACACAGACTCCTCAAACATCTACCAGATACCTTGGTTCACTCAGGTGTTACCTACAAAATTGTGTTTTGTTACTATTTTTTAATTGTGAATTTTTCTATGTAAGTAAACAATATCCTAAACGTGTCTAAGCACTCTGGCCCCCAAACACCAAGCACTGCATGAGAAAGGAAAGCTTTAAATATGAGGTGAAGTTTGAAGTAACCAAGAATTTTGAAAGAAGTGTGAGAATATGTGATATCTCCTGAGCTGTAGGTGTATGCATTTTTGGACCTTCTGAGACAATACAGTGAAAATAAAGGAAACATCTATGTCTCGAAAAACTTCAAGAAATACAAAATCAGTAATGAGACCTAAAGTAATAGAAGAAATGAAAAGATTGATGAATCTATGGATTGAAGACTAGACAGTAAAAAAAATTAGGAGCAACCTTTCTCACATTCAATGAGAAGGCACTATCTATACACAAAGGCCTTAAACAAAAATTGTCAGATCCTGCAGAAGTGGCTCCTTCAATGATGGTTTGGTGATTTAAAACACTGTTGCAATTTCCAAAGCTTTCAGCCTTGGGTGAAGATGTGATTGCAGATTTAAAACTTGCAGAAGAATTTCTAGCAGTGAAACACATGATAATTGAAGAAGAAGGATTACATTGGATTACATTTTCAATTTTAATGAAACAGTTATCTATTATATATGCATCTCTTGAAGGGCCTACATTTGAAAGAAAGAATAATATGACCTAAGATTTAAGGCTGTGAAAGATTTCAAATTTTGATAACCCTGCTTAAAACTACCTCACAATGACTCACGAGCTGCAACCCTTCCTACATCGACTTCTATAAGCAAACTTTCCTATGTATTGTATGTAGTATTTATATATTTCTTAAAAGTGTGCTACCATGTTTATTAAGTTCCTATCTTTTTGTAATGGGTCACTGATGAAGTGTTTGGGTGTTACGCCTCTAATCTCATTTTCCCCATAAGATCTTCAGTTTTTATTCATGATTTCATGGTGCATTGATTTTTAGGGATTCATATGTTGAGTTATAGTAGTACTGAAATCTCATTTCACCTTAGTTGTCAAATATGTTGGCACAAAATTATTCATAATCTGTTAACCTAAATGAGTGAAGTACAAGACATGTAAGAAATATATAGCTTTCTTTGGTCTACCTTTTATTTTCCCATTTTGAAGAAAGGATACAAAGAAAACAACACTAGTGCAATGATCAATGGCCCCTGGTACTCAGTCTCAGCATCAGGAAGACAATAGAAAGAGAGAGATATTCTGACAAATGTTACAGCAGTCCCTTCTACTCAGTTCCAAGTTTTCAAGACAAAATATTCTGATATTTAAATATTTAGGCCACACTCATAGTCTGCAACCTAAATCCTGGACGTTATGAGTAGTAGGAAGTGGCAGGAAGTCACAAGTCTTTTGCTCATTTTGTATTGTTGTTACCAACCAGGGTTCCTGGACTCTTTAATCAGTAGAAATTGATATAAGGCCAGACAAGAAAATTCAGGCAAGGCTTTACTGAGGTTCATGCTGCTGCATGAGGGAGTGAGAACAGGAAACATGTTCCCTTGCTCACTTCCTGAGTGGGGGCAAGCTGGTCCCTTAAATGGGGTGAGGGTGGGGGCAGACTCGTGGGTTAGGCAAGAGGGGTGGCTTAGGTGGTCTGCTCACCCCTTTGGTGGTGCTATCTGCAGGGATCTTGTGAAGTATCCTGCTTTTGCCCCGACACCTCAGAAGTGACAGTTGGGTTTTGGTCTTTTTGTATCTTGTTGCTCATAATTTGCCTCAACTGTGCATGTGTGCAGTTATTTTTGGTCCCTTACAGTTTCCTTGTATTCTGTTGCTCGAGGAGATATTTGTCTAGGTTCAAGCACTGCAGCAAAGGGTCCCAGGTCCCAGCCTATTTCATTGCAATACCTTGAGGCACAATTTGGCAAGGTTTCCACTCAGGTTGAGTGGCCTAACCCGGTGAGTCATCTCCAAGCTATGGTGCTGGTATGAATTTTCCATTTAATAAGAGATTTGGGGCACTTGCACAGTGCCCTTCATAGCAACCCACTAGCTGCAGCACCTTCCAGACTATAGTTTATAGGACTCAAGGTTATGGCCAGGCATATGAACTTCAGGACACAGAGCCTCTTCAATCTGTCTTTTGCCCCACTCTTTCTACTCACTTTTTCTTTAGAATTTTATTCATAAAAGCTTTCATTCTAAAATGTCTCCCCCATAATAGGGCCTGATGATCATGAGAAAGAGCCTGATGTCCCCAGTCCTTCACAACACATTAACTTTTAATTTTTTACATCTTTTCCCAAGTCCTTGGAAATAGAATTTTCCTTCACTGGAAGAGATGAATAAATACTCCACAATTTGTACAATTAGTGTCCCTCAATCTAGGATAGAAGAGAAGCTCATCGTTCAAGCAGAAAACCGAATCCCATAACTATTATGCTCTGAAACAGTTGGGTTTCATGAGATGAAAAAAAGAAATGTGATCAACCTTGAGTAAATTTCTGTTTATTACAATAAAATGTGCCCAAGGACAGTTGTATAGTGGAGCAAAGGAGGATGTGAGTTGATGATGAGTTCAGTTTTGGATGTGCCAAATATGAGATATTTGTGGGACATTCAGTTGCATATTGGAGCTTGGATGAGAGATCTGAACTGTCTACAAAGATTTTGGAGTCTTGTATATAGGTGATCAACAGATGAGGTTGCTCAGGGTGAGCATAGAGTGGTCTTTCTCCCAGTTATCTCTTAAGGCTATTTGGAAGTTTTAGAGTAAAAATATGAGAAAATAATTTTGTTCACATATTCACAAATTTGAGATTTTAGATTAATATTTTT